AAAATTAATTTTTGAAGTTTCCAACTAGCTTTTGCCTGGAGATTCGTGCCCGATCAAGATAATTTTTGTGATGCCATATCAGAAGCTAACTAAGCATCAAAATTACTTGCTCCAGCTGTTTCTAATAGAATACAATGCAAATGATGATTTACAGAATTAATCTTTTTGAATAAGTTAAATATAAATTCACACACAACATCTATACTACTATTATAAAAGGGGCTTGAGTTTCCTTCATCCGGCAAATCTTATTCGTTCATTGTACTTATTTTTTAATTATCTTGACCGTCCATTCTATTAAAAATATTTAATAAATCAAACAATTCACATCTATACTATCTATAATAAAAGCCGCTTGAATCTTTGGGATTCCACTCTTAGCAAATCCTAAGCGTTTTTTTATAAACCTTAAATAAATCTATATCGTCCGCTTAGGACTCTTCATATTCCATTCCTCCATAAACGATTCTACATATCATTTATAAATTCATTATACCTGCAGTTTCGCGATTATGGAAGCGTTTCTTGTTCTTCTTCACATCTCAGCATTTATTTTTCTTCACAGTCGAACAGTTTCTTCAGCTTTCTCTCATCCGAGCGTTTCTTTTCTCCAAAACGTTTTTACTGCAAAGTGCAAAGCAGTTATACATGCCATTTACGGCGGTATCCGAGGAGAAATTGTAATTAGGAAGGCAGATGTCAAATCCGAGGGAAATAGGTCTTCCTCAAGAATCGACTTGCGGTGAATGAGGGATTGGACGCGAGGGAAATAGATCCGCTGATCCGGACGCACTCCATGCTATAGCCTTTCGCCATCATTGATTCAGCAATGAAGCGAGCGAAGGTCGGTGATGGCGTTAGATGAGAAGAGACCGATTTCATCGTCGTCGGAAGAGGAGGAGAGGGAAACGAAGTCAAGGCATTGACAATTGGCGGTAAGGATGCGGTGAATGAGGGATTGGACTCGGATGGACGAAGGATCAGGGCAATCTGGGAAGAAGAAAAATAGCATGGCGTGAGGGAGGTCGGCAACTGCTCGGAGGAAGGGGCGGCATCGTCGTGGCCATCCGAGAAGAGGGAGGTGAGCTTGGAGTAGGCTGACGAGTCGGAGTCCCATTTGGTAATGATATATACATGCCGTCCACGGCTGTATCCAACACTCGTTCGTGGTCTACGAGCTCTGCCTTTTCTACATCGTTGC